GCCGATTCAATGCCGAATTCTCGGCGAGAGCAAGAGACGTCCCCACGTGTATCGCAGAATCTGACACGAAGAAAAGTCTGTCAGGATAAGCAAATCGGCCCAGCCTGTGTAGCGAGTCCACTGCCGTTCCTGGAACCGGGATTTCGCGCGGACGCAGCACACGAAGCTGACCCTCCCTATACCTCCCCGAAAAGGGTGCATCCCAGCGGGTGACCGCCCCGTTCTCTTCCAGCGTTTCGGGCCTCCACTGGATGCGCCCGTGCCTGTCGCGGAGCTGCGAAGCTCGTGCGACTGTCGGTGGCCTCGGCAGGCCGTGTTGCAAAGCCTGCAGGGTGCACAGAGGGCATCCCTTCCTCATACAGTAGAATTTGAAGCCAGGACTCGCGCATCGTCGACTGTGTAGATGGCAGGCTGCCGTCCTCCGGGCTGCCTCCAGCAGCCGAGCTCGATGCGCAACGAGTCCAGAAAGCTCTGTTCCACAAGCTTCTACCGAGAGCTCATGCGGGCAGGCGGGGACTAGGATGCAGAAGATGCTTCTTTGTGGCCTGCAGAGGCTGCCTGCTTCAACCCGCACAAGGCGGCTCAGAATCCCGGCCTGTGAAGGTTCTCAGCCATGGCATCCAAATATACTCGCTGTCGCTGCACCGCGGAGCAGTGGGAGGAGTCAGAGAAGATGTCTGGATTTCTCGTTGTGGCCTGGAGCGCAGGTTTCTAGAGGCCCTGCGTGGCCATGCATGCTCCCGAATGCTCCCCTCAAAGGCTTCTCATGCACTTCGAAGCCCGGAGTTCTCGGAGTTCTCGGGCTTTCGGGTCCTTCAGCTGCTTGGAGCGTGCCAGCCCGGCTAGCAGCGCCTTGCATCCCTCGCCAGAGCGGACACACCTCGGCTTCCGGACAGAGGGTTCGGGGGCCCCCGGAGCGAGAGCACAGGGCTGAGAGCACCGGTGCTTTCTCTCCAAAACAGAAAAGCCGAGGCGCTCTTAGAGGCTAACTTTCTGCAGGCGGTCGCAGTCCAGGGTTGCGCACCAATTCTCCCAGGCGTCGGTCGGGAAGCTGCGGAGGTGCAGGGTGGTAGGACGGCACATCGCGAGGGCTTCCACCACTGCCTCTGCAGCATTGAAGCCCGTCGTTGCCAGACTCCAGGATCCCCTCGAGAAATTCGGCGGCGCCCGGAGCGAAAGCATAGGGCTGGGTGCCTTCTCGATCTCCAAAACAGAAAAGCCGAGGCGCTCTGAGAGACTAAGTTTCTGCAGGCGGTCGGAGTCCAGGGTTGCGCACAAATTCTCTCAGGCGTCGATACGTTTTGGAAGCCGCGGTGGCGGGACGGCACTTCGCAAGGGCTTCCACCACAGCCGCAGCTGCGCTTTACAGCAGCTCCTGTCGCATCTCCGACATGGCGGACTCCGGACAGCTTCAGTTGCTCTTGCTGTTCCTGGCACTTGGCGATCTCACAGTGTGCTTGCGCAGCTCTTCGCTCTCCGCCAGGGGAGGTGCCGGCACTCGGCAGCTCTCCGAAGAGGCTGAGATCACGTCTGGGCGCTCACGCAAGTCTGGGACAGTTTCCAAGCAGCGAGCGGAGGAGGAGCAGCCCACGGCGGTCCGCGGCTGCGGCTGTGGCCCTCCACGGACACGCGAAGGGGACATCCTCCCCATCCAGGCCAACCATCGAGGCTGCTGGCATACATCAATGAAAACACGACCGCTCATCATGTTCCAACAGAGCTGCGGAACGTGATGAGAGAGCCGACGCTCGGCACGTTCCCGTTTCTCGTCGTGCTGTGTTGATGCTCCAAGTATCTGATGGCCTCCCGCTCTTCGGCTGCAAAACCATGCGCTCTACACATGTGGCTAATGACTAATGATAATGATAATGGCATCCGGCATCCGTTGCAGTGGTGCTCGCACTACATGGACATTGTAATTTTCCTGGGGCCTGGGGCCATTCAGCTGCTCGGTCAGGATTCTCACGGCGCCGAAGGTGCATGCCCAGCTCTGTGCATGTCCACACTTCCCTGCATGATCTGTAGCCCCACGACCTGCCAGGAGCGGCAAAAAGCTGCAGCTGCCGCATCTCGCTCAGAGGACTGGTATGGGCCTCAGGGAGCGTGGAGACGTCCACGTTCTCCTCCTTCTCCACGCCTAGCAAAGCTTCTCCAGTGCAGCAGGCCAGGATTCTCCGCCAATGTTGACGCAAAAACCATATCGTCCGCACTGACATGCAGAAGAACCTGTGAGCATCACGACAGGCCGCGGCTTGAGAGAGCTCCGAACAATACCTGAATCCCAGCACACGGACATCATGGCTGTGGAGGGCAGCAGCAGTCGTGTCCTCCTCAAGGCCACCGGCGCGTTCCAGTCCGTCTGTGCACCAATTTGAGCCTCAGTCGCCGCTAGCCGCTGGGCTTGAGGAGCGCCAACCAGGAACATGGAAGGTCAGGGTGCCTGCATCGATCCGGCTCGAAGCGGTGCTGCAGGTGTCTCTGCATGGTAGATGCCAATGTTTGTTACTGTCACTTCCGTCTCTCGCAATGGCAGTTCGTATACGGTGGGCGCTGGTTCACAACCGCGACAGCTGAGACCACTCAGCGCATCGGCCTGGCAGCATCTCAAACACATCCCAAGAGGCCGCAATCCATCTGCACACCCCAATAAAAAATGAATCACCAGATTTTCCAGACAAGAACAATCCAGGAACACCGGAAGCTCGCCTTCGCGAGCTTCGGCCACTTCGCCTGGTCCACGAGCTGCTGCCACGCCGCCGGCTGCTGCCACGCCGCCGGGATTCGCCAATGTTAAGCACCCCCGGCAGCGGTTGCTCCGCCGGTTCTGGGAAGGGCAGCTTGCCGGTAGAAAGCAATGATGCAATGATGGCAGCAGGGACAGCAACCTACATCTGAAGACATGGGGGCGACTGAAGCCCTACAGGAATGAGTCAGAAAAAGCGGGGGTCCTTCCTGCTTCACTTCATGCTTGATGTCAGCCTTTCAGCCTTTGCCTTCCAAGAAAACTCTGCATCAGAATGCACCAAAGCAGCTGCATTCCCACACACAGCAGCACTCCGAACTTCAGCGCGAGCTGTGCAGACTTCTGAATTCTGGGGCATCTGAACTGCGTGTCCCGCTTCTTGAAGGCCTCCGCCCCACACTGCCTTCCGCGAGCAAAGCGCGGAGCTGAAGAACAGCAAAGCCGAAGCGACTGCGCCATATAGGCATATAGGTGGTTAAACTCAATCATGCAGTAAAGACTTGGGTGCCTGCCTAGAGTCTGGGCATATTGATTAATCAGCACAAGATATCTTACTTTAAACAGGCCTGTCATCCGATATACATTTGCAGGGCTTTCCCACGGCGGTGCCGGCTGTCAGGGCCGTGGCAACCTGCTGCCTCAGTTGCTTGCGAGGGCGGTTGTCAGAATCTCAATCATGACTCCTCCGCATGGATACGTCACCGCTGCGATGCTGCTCAGACCAGTTTGCTGTTTGCTTAATCTGTACACATAGGCTCGCCGCCCATAGCCACCTGCAAAAATGCCTGGTGCCCCGAATGGCCACGGATTCCACAATCAGTAACAACAGTCCTCAAGCGAAGCACTCTTTGCAGAGCCGTGTGCATGCAAGCAACGTCAAACATGAGTGATGAGTGGCATCAAAATGCATCAAAGATACTTTCGAAATGAAGGCCAAAGACATAACTTACCTTTTTCCCGGGCCCGTCCCCCCAGCTCAAACTCCGAGACAATCCCTTTGGGAGTTATTCCTGCATGGACTTGCGGTGTCCTCGCAATGCAACTGAACTAGAAACGGGCAGAATCTCAACGATTTAAGAAGGGCGCATCGAGCGTGCGCGCTTTTGCTTCCACGCCTTTTCGGACAACTGCCGAGTGCTCAAGCGGAATGTTGAGTCGATTTTGGGAACAAGGCTACTGCTTGTCCTGAGTTATGCCGAGAATTCGTGGGCCTCCTGTATGGCACGCTATGTCCACCTCCGCCAGCGTGTCGCCTCCTCCGGAAGCCCGGCCTCTTTAAGCAAAACAGGCAGGTCTCTGCTCAAATGCAGGCAACGCCTTCATTTTGTCGATACCTCGCGAGATGCTGCGTCATCGGCAAAATCGCGGACTTGCCACCTAAGATCTCCAACAGTCTGGAACCGGAACCTCTACTTCGCAGCGACCACCACAGCAGAGGCTCCCTCAAGAGGCGTGCTGAGATGACGCCGGAGCGATGCTGCAGTTGCCACGAGGCTTGAGGAGCGACACCGGGGAGCTCGCAGCTGTGCTGCAGGCAGTGTCGCAAGGGTGTAGACCTGCTAGATGCCAATCTCTGTTACAGCCAAGTCCGCCCAGCAATCCACCGTCCCTGCCGAAGGCGGTTCGTCGACGGTGGGCTCCCGCAGCTGAAGCTCAGCGTGGGGGCTTTCGTGGCTTTTCTCCTTACAGTAGCCCCTCAGAAGCGTTGAAACAGCAGGCCGTCTAAGAGCCTCGAGGAATCCCGACGAAGCTCCGACGGGACTCAGAAGCTGCTTTTGGAGCGGCCCAGCTCAAGGCCAACAGCAGCGCTCTCGGAGTTCTCGGGTCTTTCAGCTGCTTTTGGAGCGCGCGAGGGCTTCACCATCACCACCGCCACTTCGAAATTGACGACAGTGCATGCCTTTGATTCTGTCCACGCATATTTGCACCGGCCCTGCTCAAGCAGGTGCAACTTCGCATGCGGAAGTTGACAGGGCGGGGGCATATCTTCCAGTCGTTGCTTCAAGACCCGCAGAAGCCGAGTAGGCTGGCTTTGCAGTTGACAAGCAGGCTATCATAGCTGGCCTCCGTGGAAAATTCATTCACATGGATGCGCATTGCTGCTACCGCGACTGCGCCTTCCTGAGCCAGCAAGGCGAAAAAACTGAAAGTCCCCAACACGTCAGGGCCCTATACTGAGCACGGTCTCGAGGGTTCAGTCGAGGCTGATTGTAGCCAAGCTGCCTCATTGTTGCTGGAGCTTCTAAGAGCGCAGCCATCACCCCAAGCCAAACAGGAACAGAGCGCGGCCGCGGATGCCTCGCAAACCCCTGCGCGTCCCTTCCCAGAGTTTCCAGCAGCACCTGGTGCTCAGCACCGTGACCTAGGCTGGGCATGGAACAAATATACCCACGGCCAAAGCAAGCTGTCTTGACAGCAGCGACACCTCAGAGCCCTCTAAGAACCGTGCAGGCGTCTGCTGCAGCACTTCAGGCATGATCAATGCTGCGCGCTCTTCAACGACCAGCGCCTGACGACTCGAGCCCACCCCAGCCAGTGATGTTGTATTCCATTCCAGCCAAGTCTGTGTGGTCGTCCATGTCAGGCCTGCAACACCGATGCACTCGTTGATTGGAAGGTTTTGAAAGGGCTGCTCCTGAGCAGTGACCAGACGACACTGTGTCGCCATGACCACTGTTTGTCCGTGCTGACTAGTCGCCACCACAGCCAAGTCAAAATCTGAATGAGCAGCCTCGTCACACTGCGGGTGGGAGATTGCTCGATTGATTGACCCGTGACTGCTTCATCGCTTCCAGATTCCTGCAACTATGCTCAGCTTTCGCATTCAGCAGACGAACACAATGCAGGGCTGCTAGCACCCAGCCAAGTGAAATCAGGATCAGGGTTCCTCCGCAAGCTGAGAAGGATTCGATACATGAACGAAGGAGGGAAATCAATGCACGCACAGTGTGCGTGTACCAAATATGCCAAAAATCACGCCTGCCTGTGCTTGACGGGCGTCGAACAAAAATGTTGGTCCAAGCGCCGCTGCACCGCAGCGCGCCGCAGTCGAAGAGCGCGTGGGGCCGCCGTGCTTGCGGAGAGCCGGAGGGTGGGGTGCGGGCTGAAGCGGCTGAAGTCCAAGCGCCGCACTGCTCGGCTCTGCCACCGAAGTGCGCGCTACGGGGCAGGCGGGGGCCTCCGGTGGCTGCTTTTGGAGCGGTGGGCCTGGCCGCTCCTGCATATGGCTCCAATGTGAAGGAAGTGGTGCAAACCTGCAGGTTTGTGGGTTGGGTCATGTCAATCCATCACATTTGTTTCCCTCGCTCATGAGCGAAATTCAAGGGGTCTGGCGACCTGACTGAAACTCTCCACGAAAGGCATCCGGCTTTTCATCTTGCCTTGCCCGAGCGGTTTTGCGGGCAGCTCCGAAGCCACTCGTCGTTCTCGTCTCTGTCGATGTATCGTCTCGCTTTTCCGGTGCAAGGCGTTGCACTGCAGCAAAGCCAGAGCTCATCAGAGCACCCTTGATGTCGTCAGTGAGTTCTGATGGCAAGCGATCGGAAGCACAGCACATCGAAACATCCGGATACACACGCGATCCCGATCCTCTTGTTCCCTCAATCTCTCAGCGGTCCCAGGAAAATCTCTCCAAAGGTCCTGCGCTGAAGGTGTCCTGCGCGATCTCGATTTGTCCCGCACGAGGGCTGCGTCGCCCACGATCGTGAGTTTCCCGTCACCTCAGAGAACGCTCAGCCGAGGAGCGCGCTGTGCAGCTCGCGCGAGGGCCGGACGTGAGCGCCATGGCTTCCCTCAATCCTAAGCCCGTATGGAGCCGTGCCCCAGATTGCAGTGGCAGAATAGATCAGAGCCTCATCTCGATGTAGTCCACGAGCTTCAGAACCGAAAGCTCCATGCTGTGCTCCGGGCGGAAAAACTTTTCGCAGCTTCCAGTTCAGCTCGAATCGCGACCCCTGCAAACTGCAAACTGCCGCATTGCACCCACAACACCGTCGAAGTGCTGGTAAGGGCCGATTGCAGAGACCAGAGTCGGAGTGTCGTGGCAGCTTATTCGCTGAGTCTGAGGCCATGAAAATCTCGTTTCGACGGACTCGTAAGCGGATGGTCTGATACCGACTTTCCAGCCTCCGAGGCCTTGCCAGAGGACAGAACTACCAGAATCAGGGTCTAACCTGACTTTCCCTTTGTGGCGGGGGGAGCTGTCGAACAACAAGGCAAACGCACGAGCTCCGGGCCGCAGCTGCGCCCTGGCATTGGGGCAATATTCTAAGCGAGGTACGTCCGCCCACGCCCTACCGGCCCTACCGCTCAAGGATCCCCCACCTGAAGCCCTCTTGTTGTCGAAGTCCAGACAGGTCGGCATTGCAGGACCGGTGCGGAAGACTTCGACAGAAGTGAAGGTGTCTGTTTCAGCAGCGCATTCAACGGACGCAGTACTGACGCCGATGCTTCTTGCAGAACTGGCCGATGCGAGATCTCTCTGCTGCGGACTGCTCGTGGAACTCGGCAAAAACGTGCCGTGACCTCAGCACAGGATTGCAACTGACCCTGCAGCTGCTCTGCGTGCTTCAAAACGAGCAGCTGGGCTGGTGACGAGCCGCCCTCGGTCATCTGAAGTGGTTCCTCTGGTCGTGGGGCCTTGTCCGCGTGACCGTGCAGCACGAAGAAGGCCTCGATGAGCGGCAGCAGCCGATTCAGCAGCGGCTTCGGAGGTGACTGGCTGTTGTCAGGCGAAGCCGCGGAGCTTCTGCGCTGGCGCGGCTGACATCTTCGGGTCATCCAGGCGCTCCAAGGTGCGGTCCAGGGCATCCCACAAATTCTCGACTCGAGCCTCCTCCATGAAGCCCTCTGGCTTAGAGCTATTTCGGTCCGGCCCTGACTTTGAGGCCTCTCGGAAAACTTCCGTCAAAGACCACGCGCAGGAAGCGCGACTCGATCGTGGAGGGCTCTGCAGCGGCCGCCTCGCACTCTGCAGGACCTGCATCAACTCGCACCTTACGGTCTCCAGGTGTGTACGTGAAGCTGCCAGGGCCACGAGGATACTGCCAGTTGGAATGCATCACCCTCACTGCTCGAGCCGTGGCCAGCGCCGGCATGGCAGAGGAAGTGGCAAAGAGCTAGCTCTTCTGGGACAAGGCCGCGTGCATGTCCTCAATGATCTTGCTCCACCGCTGCGACCCACCCGTCTCAGACGGCGTCTCCTCTGCCGCTTGCGGAGCTGCGGCCGGGCTCGTGGCTGGAACGGTCGCCAGTGCCCGCACTGGCCGTGGCCGCCGTGGCCTGCGTGGCCGTCTGAGCGGCCGACTGAAAGCTTCCGGGTGGAGCTCAGGGCCGGCTGCGGAAGCAGCAGCTCATGCAGGACGGAGAGCAGCCAGGCCGCTTGTCGCGAGGAAGACAAGTAGAGTCTCGTGTTCACCAGCTGCATGAGAAGATTCACGGCACAGTGGCCCGGCAAATCCGATATCACAATTCCTTGCAAGAGCAAGACGTCCCCCCGCGACCTCTTGCTACAGTCAGTCGACCATTGTGTGGTGTTTAACCACGCCTCGCTCTGCAGCTTGGCCAAGGGTCTGCTGCTGGTCAAACCAGGACGCGACGTAGAATCTGCGGCATTTCGAAATTCATGTCATGGACGTCGCCGAAACGCTAAACTCGTTCGGAACTGAAACCCCTGGGTGCTACTCTATAACTAAATATCAGTTGCAGCATGCTCGCTGAATATGATCTTGCAACATCATCTCTACGTCCTCAACCCTAAAAGCCCCCGAATGCCAAGTGCTGAGCCTCAAGCCTCAAGTAATAAACTCACCGTGGAGCCTGCGAGGTCGGCTGTGATGGGGATTCGGTCACAGGCTTCAATATGTTTCCCGGCCAAGTTGGAGTGAATCCCGCATTCAACCACCAGGCCGAGAGAACAGTCACAACAGCATTCCCCGAAGCCCATCAGGCTTCTGCGTCATCTCCTCCTTGACATCCTTGCGCGACTCCTGCTTGAGCTCTGTCTTTACCTGCTTCTGCACTCCAGTTGCTTCGAGTCCTCTTTCTTCATGTCCTTCAGGAGCAGCAAGCAAACAAGCCAACATAACTTACATACCTACATATCAGAAAGCTACACCCAACACCACGTCTGACAGTCTCTGCTGGCCAGAGCAAAGCTGGAAGCAAAAGAAGCTGTACCTCAAACCTAAAACCCTAAACCCAGCAGATCATCAAACCCTCCATGTTACATACGACGTTGGCGGCTGTAACAGTAAGCAGCATCCATGAAACGCGCTGGTTCCGGATGATTGCATTAAACCACCGCAACAGGACTGATCGCGCCTCTGCACCGGACTCTTGCTTGACTTCATCCTTCACCTCCCGGCTTAGGCTTCAGGCTTGAGGGTTCAGGTTTAGGGATGAGGGTTTCGGGCTAGCAGGGCATCCGTTTTCGGAGTAGGGAGGCTTGCGACTAAATACACGATGTCTTTCACTGCAGAGCCGCGCTTCGCAGGAGGCCTCCCTATTCCGTCTTATAGCAAAAACAGCACAGCCGCTTCTGGTGAAGCTGATGCACACAGAGTTTCCCCGGATGAAGGCGCAAAGTCGAAAAAGACACATGTAAGGCGGCCTAGATGGGCTTCGGTTTCGCTTTGGCCCGCTGAAACGTCCAACCTCTCAGCTACTCCGAAACAATCGGAGGCCTCAAAAGGTGGGATGAAGGCAGGTAGGATTCAGGATCCCTCATATAAGGACCCTGATTTTGCTGCACCGCTGAAGCCTTTGTCCTCCCGCACAAAGATGAAAACCCAGGATTTCAAGTTTGCTTACCAAACAGACTTGCAGCCCTCGGCTCTGCACCCTAAATGTAGACCGTTCGTAGAAAGACCTAAGGCCTTACACGAACCTTTCAAAGCGGCTCCAAACCCACCAAGACGGAGACAACTGAACCTCAAGCCGCGCACTGCCAACCCCAAACTCCACATGTGCTCCCTGAACTCTGAACCCTAAACCCTTACGGTTTAGGTGTTTGGGGTTTGGGATGCAGGCGCTGAACGCTAACCCATCTAAACCAACTTTGTGAAAGCAAAACACCTATATCAGAACTCGCTGCGTGAAGATACAAATCCTCAACTCCAATTCTAGACCAGTATTCTAGACCTTCCGGATCTACCAATGCACGCAAGAATCCGGGTTCAGGGTTTAGGCATTTCGGGTTGCCGAGGAGCTTATGGGGTTAAGGGTTGAAGAGTTCGGAGTGTGATGTAGGACTGCGGGTGTTTGGGGCCTTTCTGCAGCTGGGATGGCGGAGGCTTGCGCTGCTTGGCGACCTTCGACAAAACGACCACCTCGGCGCCGTACAAAACGACACTCTCGCCTCGTAGGCTTGGGGCGCTACGGTGTTCGGAATATGAGGATGAGGATCTCCTCTTCTTCCCGCCTGGTAGGCTTAGAGTTTGCTGTGTCTTCGTCTTCGGAACAACAGCACTAGACAAAGTATCGTAACTTACCAAGAATCCTACGGAGCCCTGTGTATGCACGCAGTCAAGCCCCAAGGCAAACCCGGCTTCATAGAATCAAGTACCTACAACGAGACACGGAAAGTCAGAACGCTTACGCCATCAACACCGAATCCCAAACCCTTTGGATGGTCGGATTGAGAGTTGAAGGGCTAGGGCCTAGGGTGTGGGGCCCCGTGTAGGTGTTTGCGTCTGATTTCATGGAGATGGGTGTCCTTGAAACTTGCGGGGATAGGTTGCAGGCACTAGGCCTGAGTCACGATTTCCGTCCCATGTTCTCCTAAACTACTCCTGCGGGTAAGGATTTCAGAACTAAATAAGACTGAATACGGGTCTGGGATTTCGACTACTCCACCATTCCCGTAGTGCTACTTACAGGTCTCAACAATGAGCCGCGAAAGTAGGTCAACTTTCCTACACATGATGACTAGTGAGAGCCTTTAGGACTTTAGGCAGGGGCGGAAACACTCAACACAACTTAGAGCCTACATAAGTAGCAATGTTACATACTTTCCGTGTTTTGCCTATACTACAACAGAGGCCCAAACACCATTCTAGTTACTAAGGCCCCGATATTATCTCAACTCTTACAACCACGTCAGGTTCCAACAGTGCTGCACTACACTACGTGGGGATCCAACAACCTACTGCTTTATGCGTTCTACCCTTTAGCTACAGAGTCATGACCTACAGGGAGAACTACCGGTAATAGATAGTAGTGACCCTCGGTGTCCCAAGCAGTCGCTATTTGTGATTATCGGTGCTGAGGAGGGTGTAAGATGCTGTAACGAGGAGTAGTTGGACCTCTTCAGGAAAGCCGCATCGGCAGAAACCATGGCAAGGCCACTCGCAATAGTGGAATTTGAGCCGGTCTGCATAGCCAACAGGCTTAAGGGCAGGGTCTGGAGTTTTGCAAGGGTCTGGGGTATGGTTGGATGTTCGAGCTCCGGGCTATCAAGGTTGGATACTGTCGCTGAGCAACATTCCAGACTGATCCGGCCCTGACAAAGGCTTCTTTGACGGCCCAAAAGCAGATTCCTGACAGGGGTTTACAATCGTTTGGACAACGCAATGGCACGATGCTGTCTGCTTTTCGAGGAAGCAGAGCACGCATGAGATTAACATGTACTCGCATATCTGCGATTTCGAAGCAAAAGGCCTCGAATGTAGTCCGCGCCGTGACATGAGATCCACGTGCGCCTTGTTTGTGTGCAGTGTGGGACTGAAATCTGGACATGTTCAGACCGAGTTTGGCAGCATATCAGAGATAAGTTCTGCACGAGAGACCCGCTCAACAAATGACGCTTTAGCTAGATGATCACTCCAGGCTTCGGACATGAAGCTCGGCCTCAACATGCTTCCGCAGTGAGAGAATGCATCTAAACTGAACTTGCTTAAGTTCCTGCACTGCTGTGCTCCTCAGCGCCTCTGGGACTGCTGGGCCCGCTCCCTCTCCTTCTCCTGCTGCGTGCGCCAAGCCACCGCCTGCTTCCAGGCCGTCTCCACCTCCTTCGCAGAGAAGTCCTTCGGGCGAAACCTCAAGTCTCGGGTCTTGCCTCCAACCCTGCTGCTTGCACGCCATGCCTGCTCGCCACGGCTCCACCTGATCCCAGGCTGTGGCCCGAGCGGCTCGAAGTACGGGCACTCCGAGAGCGGCTTCACGGGCACCACCTCCTCCTGCAGCCCCAACTCCTTGGCCAGCTCCCGGGCCCTGGCCTCGGCGTCCTCCTTCACCTTGAAAGTGCCGCCGTGGAGGGGTCTGTGATCTCCACCTTATAGCATCCAAACTTCTTTCTGTAAATGACTCCTCTCACCGTGGAGCCACAGGCCTTCTCCCTGGGCGGCCTCAGCTTCCCCTGGCGCACGAGCTCCTCGCGGAAAGCCTTGGCCTCCTCCAAGGCCGCCTGTTCGGCCTGGGCCTCGCTGAGGCCGAGCTTCATGTGCTTGGAGATTGGGAAATGGAGCCTTTTCCGCTTGCCTGATACTTGCCAAGAAACCCGCCAGCCGGCCTTCTCCTTGTCCCAATAGATTCCCTGAATGCCGCTCTGGCGCTCCAGGCCGCGGAAACTCCTCGTGACGATTTGGCCTTGCTCGGCTCTCGGCTCGGCCAGCTTCGGCTCGCCAGGATCAGGCACGGAGCCCACGGACTCGAAGATTTCGAGGCCCTGCATGGTGGAGCCACCTCCAGTCGGCGAGAGCTTCATCATGCCGTCCTCCACGAGCAGCCAGCCATTGCCGGCCCAAGCTCGCGTCGGAAGGTCCCGCATCCAAGGCCACATCTTCATGCACTCAGCTGCTCGGTGCTGATTGCCACCCTCTCTCCTGTCGGCCTGTGCCTTGGAGACAGCAGGGGTCGCTGGCTGTCGCTCGCTGTGTGGGTCACTGTTGTCGTAGAAGAGGGTATGGTGTGGATTCTCGTGATAGAAGGCGCGCAACTCTCTAAACTGCTCTTTGCTGAGGAGCTGCACACATGCTGTCGTCTTGTCTCTCACACATCCTTGCCACGGAGCTGCCGCCAATCCGAGAAACGGGCTGGCCGGACAGCAGGGCTTTGTGGGCAGCCACGTCTTGCCAGAGGCTTGAAATGCTAGGCATTTCTCGGCCCACTCTGTCAATCGCGACCCGAAGGATGGAACGGAGACGTCTGGGCTCTTCTGGCTCAATCGACGCCTCTTCGGGTTAGGCTGCTCGCAGTCCTCTAGCTTAACTTGCAGGGCCTGCTCCTCATCCACTTTCTCCTGCTTTATGTCAGTCCTTAATTGGATGGCAACATCAACAATTCCGTCAGCAAAGTGGAAGAACCAGGACCGCAATCCCAAGTGCTGTGACAGAACACACAGTGGCGCAAACCGAACAAAAGTTCAAGAATGGCATCGAAGAACCACATAGAACCGACTATCACTAACTCAAGCTCAAGCCTTGACGGACAAGGCAGGACATCCTTGAAAATGAAAGCAAACTAGTTGAGGTCCTGCGTCGGACTTCCACTGTAGCATCGAATGTCGTCTGCACAAAACGCGCAAACCCCAAGATCTTAAGAGCCTTCGATTCTGCCCGTAGTCCCATAGCCCTGGTAGTGTCACTACTTATCGCATGGTTGAACCTCGTGGCACCCAAGGCTCCTGACCGCTGCCAAGCCGCGACTCGCTTTGCGACTTCTTGTCCTCCGTGAATGGGGAGGCAGGATCAAGACTGCGCGTGCGATCTGACTGAATAGCTGCAGACTCCTGCAATGCATGAACCCGATTTGACTCCATGAAAGCACCATGATGCACTAAGCCGTTACCTTGTATTACCTTGCAAACATAAAGGAGTAGAACTTTAGCCCCTGCAACATCCTGCAAGTCTCAGCCATCACAAGAGCTTATTACATCAACAAAACTTGGAATCAACAGCTAGAACTTCACTGAGTAAGACCGGAGAGAAGCGATATCAATCCAACTGCAGGTGTTCCATCGGAAACAAATACGAGTAAGTTTAACGTGGTGGAGGAGGGATAGAGACTGAGACGACAGCAAAAGTATGGCCAGCGTGAACTGTTAGTCGCAAAACGATCCTCGAAATTTGTCGATAACGACATGCAGCAGCATGGCAATGGCAACTGAAGGTTTCCGTAGTGGACACTCGCAATGCAAATTCCAAGCAAGACATATTTCTTTAACTCGGACTTGACAGGTGCATATATGTAGCTGCTTAGTCTGCAGCAATAGACAAAGCTGTCCCCGCGAACAGGACGCACGACTCCCCGCGGCACAAAACTCGTTGCGCTGTTCTGCATTCCATACCCGTCTTGCAGATTCAGCTTTCACCACATAAACATGCATACACGCGTGCAGGTACACATGAAGGCAATGGGTCTAGCATGCAGGGATCTATATGTTTTATAGGGATCCAGCATGGCGCATTTGGTACAAACACCTTTCTACCTATGGATCTGCAGCATCTTTCCGGGGCAGCCTTCGTCCGCTTTCTTCGACGAGAGCTTACGACCTCCACGACATGATAGGGTTCAGGGTTCAGAGAGTTGACCGGAAAGTCAAGCCAACCTCCCCCCCCGACAATCACCTTTAAACCAAGCATCCGTCAAGAAATGATAGGTGTTGAGGATGCATAACGGCTTTGTACCAGCGCAGACTCTTTCCGAGGTCCTGCAACCAAACCCCTCTTGAGGCCTCAGGTGAGCAAGCCCCAACCTGGCTTTAGGGCTTTGGTTTAAGGGCCTAAAGTACATTGTCCGATTGTCTTCATTTTGTAACTAAAGCCGTGTGCTTCTTGTTGCGAGCTGTAAATATATCTGAAATCTGCAGTCGCCTCGTTGCTCTCTTCCTTCACTTCCATGTCTGCATCTTTCGAACCCTTCTCCTTCGCCTCCTGCTTGATATCCTCGCAGCGCTTAGCTGACCCATGCCGGTTAGAGCTAGCTTGGTATTGTGCACAAGAGCTTAGATCAGGATGCGACTCGGAATCTTCACTAATGGAACCTGTTCAGGCTTGAAATCCCTGGGTCGCGTTTTACGTATCTAAACAGCAGTTGCAGCTTGACATCTGGATCTATTAATGACTTGAACTCTCTAATTGAGTCCTCAAAGAAGTCTGAACCGTAAAGCGCTGTAACGGTGATTGGTTCGCAAGATTTGAGATGTTTCCCGGCCAAGCTATCATAGCACGAGACTTGTCTAAAGGTCGAGCCCGTCTAGCTTCATGGCCTGAATATATCATCTTTGAAACCTTTACGAACCCTGAAACCAGAGTTCCCTGGCAGCGAAACACCTGCCAGCGATTGAAGCTTTGCAGGTAAAAGACTCAGCGCCTGAGAGGGTGTCTCAGCATGCCACGAAGCCAATCGGCCTTCTGCGTCAACTCCTCTTTGACTTCCGACTTGATATCCTTGGACGACTCCTCCTTGATCTCTGTCTTTACCTTCTTCGAAGCCTCCTCCTTTACCTCCCTCTTCATATCCTGCAGGCACTTTTGGCTGGCCAAAAGGCTTTCAAAGGCTGTTGAAGTGCCATCTTGTAAGCTTCGTTTCAGCAGTAAACACACCACCCAAGACAGATATTATGGAAGCAAACGAAGCTACACCTAAACAAAAACCTGAGTCAGTAAATCCCTGCCGCCCAAACCCGGCACTCGCCTCCTTGAGCTCCAGCTTGGTCTCAGCCAGCTTGCCCACATGGCTTTCTTGATCCTGCCACGACCATAACAAAGCTCAGAACTTCAAGTAAGTCTTGATAGCACTAAACCCCTCTCGAGGCCTCAGGTGAGCAAGCCCCAACCTGGCTTTAGGGCTTTGGTTTAAGGGCCTAAAGTACATTGTCCGATTGTCTTCATTTTGTAACTAAAGCCGTGTGCTTCTTGTTGCGAGCTGTAAATATATCTGAAATCTGCAGTCGCCTCGTTGCTCTCTTCCTTCACTTCCATGTCTGCATCTTTCGAACCCTTCTCCTTCGCCTCCTGCTTGATATCCTCGCAGCGCTTAGCTGACCCATGCCGGTTAGAGCTAGCTTGGTATTGTGCACAAGAGCTTAGATCAGGATGCGACTCGGAATCTTCACTAATGGAACCTGTTCAGGCTTGAATTCCCTGGGTCGCGTTTTACGTATCTAAACAGCAGTTGCAGCTTGACATCTGGATCTATTAATGACTTGAACTCTCTAATTGAGTCCTCAAAGAAGTCTGAACCGTAAAGCGCTGTAACGGTGATTGGTTCGCAAGATTTGAGATGTTTCCCGGCCAAGCTATCATAGCACGAGACTTGTCTAAAGGTCGAGCCCGTCTAGCTTCATGGCCTGAATATATCATCTTTGAAACCTTTACGAACCCTGAAACCAGAGTTCCCTGGCAGCGAAACACCTGCCAGCGATTGAAGCTTTGCAGGTAAAAGACTCAGCGCCTGAGAGGGTGTCTCAACATGCCACGAAGCCAATCGGCCTTCTGCGTCATCTCCTCTTTGACTTCCGACTTGATATCCTTGGACGACTCCTCCTTGATCTCTGTCTTTACCTTCTTCGAAGCCTCCTCCTTTACCTCCCTCTTCATATCCTGCAGGCACTTTTGGCTGGCCAAAAGGCTTTCAAAGGCTGTTGAAGTGCCATCTTGTAAGCTTCGTTTCAGCAGTAAACACACCACCCAAGACAGATATTATGGAAGCAAACGAAGCTACACCTAAACAAAAACCTGAGTCAGTAAATCCCTGCCGCCCAAACCCGGCACTCGCCTCCTTGAGCTCCAGCTTGGTCTCAGCCAGCTTGCCCACATGGCTTTCTTGATCCTGCCACGACCATAACAAAGCTCAGAACTTCAAGTAAGTCTTGATAGCACTAAGATGTACTAAGTGGAACCTGAGAATCAAAAGCTGTAGCTAGGAGCCTGGATCTAGGGCAAAGCTCCAACGCTTTCAAGACTCTGGTTTTCACCTCGCGCGATCCCTTTCCCTTCGAGCCTTCGGACCGCAAGCGACGGAGCTTCCAGGGTCTTCATGACTAACATGACATGCTGCGCGGCTTAATCCGTTTGGCAGAACCATGCCTTCCGCCTTCGGGCCTCCGTTTGCGAAGTGTGGGTGGTGGGAGGGGGGGAAACCAGGCGTGAAAAGCATGAACAGCAAAGTTCAGGTGCAGGCTTCTGTTCACTGAGCACCCCATCAAGCCTTATATGCCCAAGCGTCAACCCACCAGCAGTGCACCCATCTCAACCCTGAGCCCTAAACCCTTTGCTAGTGGCTCTCAGCATACCAGTCGCTTCTGTTTTCCTGACCATGAAGCTTGAGAGGTAATTGTGAATTTGGCTCCGGGAGCCTTTTTTGCAGGCTTTACATAGCTGGGCAAAAAAACGATGCAACGCAACCCCAACCCTATTACACACAGTGCGACATTATGGGTTAAGGGTTTAGGGTCAAGGGTGCATGGAGCCTTCGCCAGCCGTGATGGACGAGGAGGCCTGCGCCGCTTGGAAACCTTCACCGTCAGAACGACCACCTCAGCGCCAGAAGCTTCTGACACGATACTCTCCGCGGGCCTGGTGGGCTTGACGGCTTACGGTTATCAGAAAAACGAATCCTCTTTAGAACGGGACAAAACATCAGAAGTCACCAACATTCCTATTGAGCCCTATACACCCTCAGCAAAACTCCAATAAACTATGTATCCATACCGAAAGGATCCTAAGTACCTATATAGTAGTTGTTCTACGAGACTACTCCTGTGCCCTATAGGAATCGGAATCAGGAATGGAAGGCCCAGGCTTGCACCAGGCCTCTAGCCCAGATGGCAGTACCCTACGCTTCTTTAGTGGAACTGAACTTTCCGCTTCGTTTACGCGCTACTGACCAACGATCCCAAACAGAAAGATGGTTCTTGGTTCCAGAAGAGGATGCGAAGTCCTGAAACAATACGTGCAGCCGCAGGGTAAACCATGTTCAGGAAAGTCGCATCCGCATCTGCGGAAGCCATGGCACGGTCTCTTGCAACAGTGGAATCTTGAGCCGGTCTGCTGAAGGGGGTCCCGCCATCTCTCTTGAGTTTGGCAAATCCCGACAGCGCCCCAAAAGCATACACTGCGCCCATTCTGCAATGCAGGAAAGCTACCTGTTTGCTGAAGCATGCATATGACGAGCTGATGATGACGGAATCAATGGCTCTAAACAAACTGGGCTTGCAGCATCGATTTCAATCGCCCTCCTGGGCAAAAGCATCGTGTGCAAACAGTTTCTGGCGGGTGAAGAGCCCATGCAGGATTGCACATGGATGACGTGGCTGTCAAGATTCTTTGTATCTCCTTCTTGGAGTGTGCTTTTCAGCTCAAACAGCAATGACTCGAGCGCACCTTGCACAATTGGCATCCGTGGCTTGCGAAGGAAGCACCGTGCAATCACCAAGCGCTGCTTCTGTCCACCAGATGACTTGCCTGTCAGAAACTTCTGCGATCGTCAGAATGACTTCATGTGTGGGGGTCCCAGGTCCTTTCAGGACCACTGTCGCGAGACGAGACCTGTAACGATATTGAATGCCACGAAGCTGCACAATCCCGTGTGACTTCGCGCCCCCTTCATCGGAGATGGGCATGGGGGCTGGCTTCGATCACTGCAAACACACGTTTGAAGACGCCCGAAAGCCGGGTGAAAGCATGTTTCATCCTGTCCCAATGAAGCTGGAGCGTGATGAGAAAGACCATGCTCATCACTCCCGCTTTCCCATGACAACAACTGGCCACCGCGCCACAAAGCAAGCACCGCTGTGTCCACGTTTGAGATACGTTGAGAAGGCTGTCACTGAGGCTCCAACGTAAGCATTCCTTACATCGTGGCCTGCGGCTGTCTGAGTATCTGAAGGCCTCGTGCTCTTCGGCTGAAGCATCACCTTTGCTGGCTAATGGCATCCGTCGCAGTGCTGTTTGCCTCACCACAGGCGCAGTAGTAGTACATGGACATTGTGATTTTCCTGGCCCACGTGGCAAATGCACGGTAGCTGTAGGTGATCGGAGGCACAATGGTAAGTGCAAGGACCGACAGCTTCTCATGCCGCCCACCTCTGCTATCATGCAAACTGCTTCAACTCCGTGTCTCGCTGTGTGCCGGACATCTGTCGCTAGTGCCGTCGGCTAGCAGATCATGCGTCAATGCGCTGAGCTGCCTTGGCAGCCCCATCGCTGAAACGGCGACGGAGAAGCAGCAAACGGACACTTAGAGGAGACTCCCAAAGTTGCCCGAATCCCGATGCTAAGCGGCTGCGTCATCTGACTTTGCTGCAGCTTTCACCCACGATAGTTCCGGAGACATCTTCAACTCAGACAAGATTTGCAAGACATGTACTGACAAGTCTTCATGACGCAAGGACTAACAAACTGAAAAGTTATGTAGCTGCAGTATGCAATGCTTTTAGATAGACACTTCAGGTGGGGGAGCGGTGTAAGCGCCAGCTCGGTACCAATCGGGTGGATGGACCGCGGTTGAAGCGAGAGAGGCCTGCTTGCGCCTCATCAAACCCTGTACTAAGTCTCCTTCAACCCCCATTGCATTGTCGGGCGTTCCCGCTCCTGGGGCGGGTCCTAGGGGGAACGGGCCGCCATACCGCGCGGCAGGAAGAGCAGGGGTTTGGAGGAAGGCCGGGGCCAAAGAGGAGGAGCTACTAGGTCCGGGCTGGGATGCCCTGGAAAAATCCGTGAACGCAACGTTCCTCAGAACTTCATCTCCCGATTCCCTTCGCCCTTCGGGGTTGGGTTCCGGGGGTGAAACACCCCACGGACCATTACCCTTGCCGTCGGAACTGTACGCGTTATGAGGCATCTGAAGCAGCTGCTTCATGTCCGGTGTTCGATCCGGCAAAGCCTGGGAGTCGCCACAGATTAACCTCAAGGCTTGCAGCACATCCGGGTTGCTGCCAGGCTGAGAGCCGTCAAGGCACCCTCTAGCTTCAACCCTAAGATCCTCGAGGGTTTGGAGCGCTCGACTCCCGGTAAGAGGGACTGCCGAGTGGTCCCGATAAGTGCCATCGAGGGCCTCATCCAGAGTCTCTCCCGACACCATCCTCTGAACTACTCCCGGGAGAAGTTGGGAGGCACTAGGCAAGAGAATCGAGGGCAGTGCAGGCACGCTGTCGCTTTCCTGGGGGAGTTGAACCCGAGAGGTTACGGAGGAGTCCGCTAGTTTGGGCTCAGGCGAGGCCTTGGGTTTACGCTCCTCCTTGGCTCCATGGAGCCTGCAGAGTTTGACCCCGCCCTTGGTATGGTACGGTGTTTGCAGGCACCCCTCCACTGAGCAGGTTCTTCCTTTCAACGACGCTTGATAAATGGCCCGGTGATAGTCGCAAAGGGCGACCGCGTGGGTGCCATCTATGAGCCTCTTGAGGCCTTCCTGGCAACTGACAACCTCATCCGCCTTCAGGAGAGGCTCTGGCTGATGCCGGGCTAAGTCCCTGCAGGGCTCCATCGCCAAAGGCTTGGCATTAGGAGTGCCGAGGTCCATGCCCACCTGGTCAGCCTGACATGTGTTTCCTTCCTCAGCCTCAGACTCGGTCTCCGAGTCTTCGTGCCTGGGACCTGCCCCCTCGGAGCCTGGGCGCGAACCGCGCCTCTGGCTCCTTCGGCAGCAGATGCCACACAAAGTTCCACAAATCAACTTCCCGATACGCCTTGTAGTTTGCCGGAAACAGGAGCACCACAGGAGCCCAAAGAACCAGGTGAGAATGGCGCACCGGGCCCATGGTCCCCTGCCGGCCAAATCCTGAAGGTCCAGCTCCTGAACCTGTGGCACCACCGCACTGGTACCCACATGAATTGCGGGTTCACCCTCTGCGGTACATGGTTGGTGGGCGCACAGATGAATCCGGCACTCTGAGGCCTCAATAAGGTTTCTGAAGTACCGGTGGGATGAGGCCTTAACCTCGTCGCACGCGCAAATGAAGCCGTGCCGGTTGGTCCGGCCCCGCACGGTCCCGTGGCGGAGTCTGGCAATCGCTGTACCATCAGTAATCAAAAGATCGTGCGGTAGACGATTAAGGCCTCTACCTCTAACCTCTGATTGCACATATGCAACGGACCACGGTTCTCCAGCACAGGGACCTTTCCAGTTAGGCCTGAATGGCCTCTCTCCCAAAAGTCGTGAAACTTCACTCCAGGGCGCATCTCCCCGGAAGTACCGGACCAATGCTCTGGAGTGCACAACAATTGGGAAGACAACCCAGGTGTACGTCCAGACACCCAGCTGCAGCAGGAATACCCCAACTATTCCGACCATAAGCCAGTACGTCCAGCGATTCGCAAATAAAATTGACGAGCATAAAGGGCCACAGTATTGCTTTGCATACACCTTGCAGAGGTCCCATATCGGGAGGACTCTCTGGACCATGAGGTCCCAGAGAAACGCTTTCCAGCTCTCCCAACCGCTGGGTTCCTCCGGTGCGGAAGTGGCGCCGATCAGCTCTGGTTCCTCGGCCTCCATCCATGCCCCCACAAAGGGTAGCCAGGACAGGTCCGGGACCGAAATCAGTCCCCGGACCCCCCAAAGGTCAGGGACTTCGTTCGGTTCCTCCATCGCCGGGAACGGGGTTGTGGTGGTGGTGGAATTAAAAGACTTTTCCAGCGTACTGGCCGTTAACAGGGCAGCGCCTGCCATGGCCCTCGCGGGAACCCACACCATCACGCTTTGCGGAGCCCCCGGGCAACCTAAAAAACTAAGCTACCTTGAGCCTAAACGTGCGGTGAGACAGAGGTGAAACCCTACGCACACTACGCTGTACTAACCGAATACAGCTCTACCTGGGTGTCTGGAAAATCGCCTTCCCATTCCAGGCATGCATTCTTGCGCTTCAGGCCAGTCTGGTGCACTGCAGTAGAACTAGCAGCAGGCACAACCGGTGAAGCCAACGTGCGCCCCGCTGCCCAAGTCCCTGGATCAACCCGGCTGTCGAACAGCACAGAGTCGTTGTCCAGCATCACTTGGCTATCGAACAAACGTTGGCTGGACATCCTGAAAGGCACACCGCTCAACACCGAAACTGACAGAGCTTAACTTCTGCGGTTCATCCCATCCTAGATGATATTAATGCATAAACCTTGGGCGGGACCTCGGGACACAGACCTCAGGACACACAACCCCGGACATGCCCCGGACATCCCGGACATGCCCCGGACATGCCCCGGACATGCCCCGGACATCCCGGACACCACCCCGGACACCACTCCGGACATCCCGGACACCCCCCCTCCGGAACATCCCGAACACAACCCCGTCCCCCCACCCCCCGAAACTCCTGACATAACCCCGGACACCCAGGACTCCCTACGGCCCTACGGCTTTGGCCCACAACTTTTTTGTTTGTGGGTTGTCTGAGAGCAGATTGTTGACAGGTGAATCGACACATCCCTTTGCAAGCTTCTCGAAAATCTGTGTGCTGCCAACTGCTGGTCACACAAAAGTGAAGCTTGGCTGACAGGGAACCCGGTGACACTGTGCACAGTAACACCCTGAGAAACCCAACAGTAAGCACGAGTGTGTACCCAAACCGCTTCAAACCTTCCAGAGCCTACAGCTTCAGATACTGCTGAGGTCTGTACTTGTCCTAGTCCTAAGGCTCTGCTCTCAGACGCTGATCCCACTATTCTCCCGCACGTCTTGGTGTCAGTTGTATCTTGCCAGGATTCGGAAAAAGGCAAGAATGGGTTAGCTGCAAAAGCAGCAGCCCACAGTGTAGCTGCCAAGCAGCACCCCTGCCAAAGGGATAGCTGCGAAGCAGCACCCTTGCCGATGGGTTAGCTGCAAAAGCAGCAGCCCACAGGATAGCACCCCTGCCGAAGGGATAGCTGCGAAGCAGCACCCCTGCCGAAAACAATTGTTAAAAACCGCACCCCGATGAGATGGGGTTGCGGGGAGCAGGCAAGTGGGTAGCCAACAGTGGCAGCCACGAAGCCAAGGTGAATGATCCATAAGGTCACAGGTTAGCAGCAGAAGCTGCAGCCTGGACGCTAAGGATGCCGCACAGTTCACCTCTCGCGGATCCACTTCAGCAGCTGGCCGGTTCTTTTGGACTCCAGTGTCGGGTCCTGTTGGACCTGCCTCTCCAGGTGAGTGAGAGCCGTCTGGAGGCTTTTGTCAGACACGATGTGAATCCTGGCTCCGTGGCAGGTCTCAGGTCCCTGCAGGCTCAGATGAACGAACAAACAATTCGTGGGCAGCACGACTCCCCTCCCAGGGCGGCATGTCACACCAGCCATCCCGCTCAACTGCCGTGAGGAACTCTTCTGCACGCATCCGCTCCAGGTGCTGCAGCATCTCGGCCGTCGTGTTGCCGGCTAGCTTCTTCACGGGGAACCCCAAGTAGATCTCCTTGCCTTCGCAGCAGATGCGCAATTCGGGCAAGCCCCAGTCAGTGGACATCGAGAGGCGGCCGGAGTCCCCGGCCATCTGGTAAAAGTACAACTGCCAGATCTCCTGCAGCTCCTTGCTCGAGGGTCGTGCCACGGAACGCAGTGGCACCGGCAGGATCTGGTCCAGCTGCACCGCACACGAATACTTCTGGCTGCTCCTCAGCAGCATCTGCTCCACCCACTCTTTTGCTCGCTGTAATACTCGTGCCGGGTCACATCCCGGGTAAAGCCTTCCACGGGCGTTGGTGGGAGCAGAAGGGGCACTGTCATCTCATCCTCTGGCTCCGCTGCGCAGTTGATGGTTTCATCGGGAAGCGGGTTCTCCTTGAGGTGCTTCAACAGATTGACCACCAAGGCGGGGGTCTCGGAAGCTGCCTGGCTGTTCGGATGATCAAGCTTGGCCTTCTTGTTCGAACCCCTCACTGTCGCCTTCGCGGCCAGCTTGTCCCGCTTCTTCACCTCCTTCTTGCAGTCTGCGGTGAATTCGCGGAAGTTTTTAATCTGCTGCTTCGTGTCCAACACTGCCTAGCAGTGCTTGCCAAGGTGCCACTCCTTCATGTAGGCTGCCAGTTCCTTCTCCATTGACACCATGGCTTCGATGTCAAGGCTTTCGTCAGCAGCCTTGGTGTTCCATTCTGCGATGGACTCCTCCATGGCAGTCTCCAGGTCCTTGATCTTGTCATTCAGCACTTTCGTCTTTTCCTCGGCTTCTCTCTTCACGGGCACGTCTGACATGCACAAAGCATTCGTCAAGTCCTTGCACAAGGTGTCTGCTGTGGCCTTCTGACGCTTCAACAGCTCGGACATCGAAGCATTTGCCTTGTGGATAGCGTTGGTGAGGCTTGAGCTTTGCCACTGCCAAGGAGGGAAGCTGGGTTGCTTGCTTCTCCTTCAACTCTTTCTTCTTTTGATCAGCTTTCTCCTTGAGTGCCAAGGCTTGCTGCTGAAATTCAGCAGCTCTGTTCTCAGCAACTTCCTTCTCTTGCTCCAAATCTCGTCGCACCGCGACGGCCGGAACGTAGGCCTGCTTGCCCTGCTGCTCTGACAGAAGCCGCTCTGTTTGGAGCTTGTCAGAAGCACGTTTCATGCGAGGTCCGATTTCCTCTTCGAAACCATCAAGCTGCTCGCCATCGCCAAGGTCAGTCCGCTGCCGCACGGACGCTGCAACGGTATGGCGGTCCACGACATTTTCCAGACCTCCGTTGTTGACCCGGAGGCAGAGTTCCCCGTTGATCTCCTTGGTCACAACGTCCGGATCCGTGCAGCGATGCTCGTAGGCTGCCATAGCATCCTCCAAGGTACTGTACTGCTTCAGGATCATTTCCCGTGCGCACCAGTCGCGGGGGGTCATGTATCGTGAGCCGCTGCAATTTCCCAGTCTGGCGAGTCTCTTCCAAGGCCCCCACTGCCGTTGCGAAGGTCCTGCGGCTTTTCTTTGACTCGGTTGCCCGCTTCCGTTTCTCTTGGCGGTACCACTGGGCACGCTCCGAGGAACCCATCTTGGCCACGCTTCCCCTCAGGGCCTCAGCGGCTTTTCGAGCTTTCTTGGCCTCCTCGCTTTCCTTGGCTTCTTCGGCAGAGCCCTTCTTCGGTGCTTTAGCCATCCGAGCGAGGCACCGGTCTGTGGACGAACAGCAGGAGCAGATCCGCCTCAAGCAGTTCCTTCCAGTTGGGTAGCTCGTCAAGATGCTTGTCTCTTCCTCACACCTGATGCACATGATGCTCTGAGGCATCTCCTGGTCCGGGGCATCTGTCACGCTTGCTGCGGGGCAGGGGAGCACGAGTGTGGGAGCTGAGGGGCTTGCGGAGCCAAACAAATCGCTGCAGAATGAGATATCTCAAAGACACAAAAACAAGAACCCTGAGTTCAATGGCTGTCATCAGGGAACTACCCGGCAAGCTTACTCAGCGAACACAGAAGGGTTATCGGAAGACTGTTTTGCACGATTCTCAAGCTTGCTGTGTGCACACACACACACACACACACATCTGCTCATCCACCTACCATCCTAGCAGGTCCTATCTACGAACAGGCAGACCGCCACCATGGCAACCGACACCGCTTAGAAGCGCTAGTCGGAATCCGAGGTGGATCGCTTCTTTTGGCAGGTTCAAGTGAGGTGGGAAACGCAGCTTGCGCTGAGCATTCTCTGGCATGTCTCGCCCTGAGCTAGTAGAACGCCTCCGTCTGTCGCCAACCTTGCTTCCGGAGCTTTGTGCTGGCTCAGATTCGTTCTTGGAGCTCTTGCTTGCTGGCGAGAGCCAGTTTTTGGATGAAGCTTTGGCTTTAGCCAAACACTCGAAGAGGTGTGTTGCTTTCTCACTCAGGACGAGTGGACTCTGTGGCGCAGCATCATCAACGTCCATGCCCGGATCATCATCCGAAAAAAGCTCGTCAACCAGTCGCTCAAGCTCTAGCTCCAAGTCATCGGACTGGTGACGTGGTAAGTCCTGGGTGCTGCCTTCTGGCTGTGACGTGGTAAGTCCTGGGTGCTGCCTTCTGGCTGGTGACGTGGTAAGTCCTGGGTGCCACGAGGCAGAGTCTTTGGGGCTTCCTCTTCAGCTGAAGCCTCTGGCTTTGCGCTGGTGTCACGGAGGCAGAGTCTTTGGAGCTTCCTCTTCAGTTGGAGCCCTTGGCTTTCGAACCCTTTTGGCCTTGGGGTTGCGAGTCTTTGGGGTTACCTCTTCAGTTGAAGCCTTTGGCTTTGTAGCTGTTTTGGCCTTCGGGGTTCGGGTCTTTGGGCTTGCCTCTTCAGTTGCAGCCTTCGGCTTTGCACTGCTTTTGGCCCTCGGTTTTCGAGTCTTTTGTGTTGCCTCTTCAACTGCAGCCTTCGATAGCGCGGTCCTGCTGGAGCTCGCGGCGTAGCAACTCCAGGTAGCGGTCCGGATCCTCGAATAGCGTGCTCCACGTGTAGTCGAACACATTGATTGTAGCGGCCGGCTGGCCCTTTCCCCTGCCCCTCTCGCCTCGGCCACGGCCAGGGCTAGCGGCCCGAGGGAACGAGGGGCTAGCGGCCCGCGGCCCGATCTCCATGAACTTCCTAGCGGCCGACTCAGCCGGCGTAGGATCCACGGTAGCGGCTGCAGCTGTGGCAGCCGGTGCTGCCGTAGCGGCGGCAGTAGCGGCCACCGGGGCAGGATCGGTGCTGCTTGTGGCGGTGGCATCTCTGGTAGCGGCCTCCTCTGCGGCCTGCAGGGAGGCTTTGCTAGCGGCCACCGCCTGCTGGTACTCCAGCTCGGCGGCCTGCTCCTCCTTAGCGAGCCGCTCCGCGGCCTCTTTCCGCTTTTGCTCTAGCGCGGCCGCTGCGACTCTCTGGTCGTGCTCGGCCTTATTCTCTAGCGCCAGCTTAGCGGCTATGGCCTCCGCCTCCTTGCGGGCCTTGGCCTTTGCCGCGCTAGCGGCCGCGTTGGCTGCGGCGAGCTGGTCTAGCTGGGCCTTTGCTGCAGGAGCTGACATAGCTGCATCCAAGCTAGCGATGTCGTCCTGGGACAGGTCGGCCCAGCTAGTAGCTGACAGAACTCGCCGTTCCATCATGTTAGCGGGGCTTTGTTGGCGGACCCCGGCCCCTAGCCACTTCCTGGGCGGGGCCTCCTTGTCTAGCTTTTCGATCGCCTCTTGCGACATAGCGATCAGCTCCTGTAGCAGAGGCTTGTCGAGATAGCGGTGCAACCCGTCGGTGCACTCCGAGGGTCGGAACCGTAGCGCCCTCCGCAGACCGCGGAGGGTCTCTGGCAGGTAGTCGCCAGTAGCGGGCTCCTCGGCCGTAGCGGGGCCATCCGCTGGCCCTGCGCCCTTGGTGGGCGACGTAGCTCTGGCATCCTTGCCTTTACCTCCCATAGCGGCGCCCAAGGCACGGATCGGGTGAAACGGCTAAAGAAAATCTAGCTACCCCAAGGTAGCGAAGCCGAGGGCTACCCGTGCGAGGAGGTTTAGCACAGTCACTGGCTCCTGCGCCTAGCTCCTTTGCAGCCCTGTTGCCTAGCGGGGTAAGCCCGCACGTTTCGCAGCGCCTTCCTCCGCTCCACAGCTCCTTCCTGCAGGACGGACCTAGCGCAAGCACTGGCTCCTCTCCTAGCTCCTGTGTTCCCTGGGTGGCCAGAGGAGGGGTCTCCCGGCCCCGGTTTCCTAGCGCCTGCCTTCGCTCCTTGCTCCTCCTGCAAGACGCTAGCGGAACACGAAAGCACAACACAGGCACACAGCAAGTGACATGTAGCGACGCCCGAAAGCCCCCCCCCCCCCAGCACACCCCTTTTAAAGTCTAGCGGCGTTTGGAAGAGAGAGAGAGAGAGAGAGAGAGAGAGAGAGAGAGAGAGAGAGAGAGAGAGAGAGAGAGAGAGAGAGAGAGAGAGAGGAGGACATGCGGTTCCGACCTAGCAGCCTTTCTAGCCTTGGTGCGAGTGCGAGTTCGGCGGCTTAGCACGCCCTGCGCTCAAGGATGACTGCTAGCGGACCCCGGTGCGAGATCCTCTGGAGCCTCATCATCTTCCGAGTTAGCGAGCGATCCTTCGCTAGCGTCTCCTTCGGAGATAGCCCCTTGGTTCGGCCAGCATAGCTTGCACACATGTGTGTACTCGTGCGGCTCCGGAACCGAGTCAAGAATCCTAGCGTTGCGGAAATAACAAACATTTCGCTTAGGAGTGTGTTGCCCTGTAATCCTGTAGATGAGCTATTTACCACATGATTTTGTATAGTATGGAACAAATGTTCCACTGTGGTGTTTAGGCTCAAGGGACGCACCCAAGACAGCCGTGCGCCCGAGGAAAAGTGAAGTGCGAATATCTGCGTGAAGTGAAAGGGTCCGGAACGTACCCGTAAAGCGTTTTATGGTAGCGGAGCTGAAGGCCAGGACCTTCGGCTGAAGAAGAGCCCAATACAAGGAGAAAAGAGCCTTGGGCCCCAGTGTCACGGAAAGAAAAAGAAAGGAAAGTTGAATGGCCACGCCAAGTCCAGCTGGAGACGCGGATTTGCCTGTGTCCCCTGGTCACGGTGGTCAAGGAGGAGATACACCAAGTGATACGCCAATGGCGATGCCTGCACCAGACGGAGTTGCAGGAGGATCCCTTCAGGCCCTGATAGGGAACCTGTCGGCAGCAGCGCAAGCTTTGGCGAGTGCTGCAGGTACAGGAAGTACCAGAAGTTACGACTCTGCAGCTAAGCTGGTGAAGAGTCCGGATGTGTTCGCTCCAAAGAATTTGGAGGAGGAAGTTTCACAGTGGCCAGATTGGAGTTTCAGTTTCAAAGTGTTTGTGGGCTTCATTGATCCCACCTATGCAGAAGAGTTGAAGAAAGTGGAGCTGGCACCACCAAATCCAGCAGATTATGCAGTTGGTGAAAGAGAGAGAAGTACAAAGCTGTATGCGATTTTGGCCTCGTATCTTAGGAACAGGCCATTGAAGTTATTGAAGTCAGAAGGAAGTCCAGATGGATATTCTGTCTGGAGGAGACTGTTTGAAGAGTTGGAGCCGTCAAGCCGAACAAGAGGGCTGGCAATGGCTCAAGCTCTAGTGAGCTTTCCCCAGATGACGAAGGGGACTTCTATCTTAGACTATCTGCTTACCTACGAAAAACTGGTTGCGGAATACGAAAAACTGTCCGAAGGAAAACCCTACGATGAGAATTTGAAAATCGGAACAGTACTCAAAGGTTTGCCAAATGAGTTAAGGAAGCATATCCTGATAGGATTGACCCCTACGACGAAGTACGCAGACATCAGGAAAAAGTTGCTGGAGTATGAAAGGAGTACCCAATCGTGGAACGCGGAGAACATTTTGCAGTCTTTCAACATGGAAAGCGCAACGAAGAGTACACCCTATTCTGGGCCACAGCCAATGGATGTTGATCGAGTGAAAGGAAAAGGAAAAGACAAAGGACAAGGAAAAGGTCACGACAACAAAGGAAAAGGAGGAAAAGGGTACAACAACAAAGGAAAAGGAAAAGGAAAAGGATACGACAACAAAGGGAAAGGAAAAGGAAAAGGATACGACAACAAAGGAAAAGGAAAAGGTGGTTATAGAAATGCACGAGCAGTGGACGCTGGTGGCTACGGGAAAGGGAAGTTCATAGGAGAGTGCCACATATGCGGAAAGACAGGACACAAAGCAGCTGATTGCTGGCAGAATCAAGGAAAAGGAAAAGGAGGTAAAGGCAAAGTGAGACAGGTAGAAGAGGAAGGAACCCATCAAGGAGATCACGAGAAGAGTTCCTCTAGCAATGCCCCTCCTGCGAAGAATGAGACTGGTCAAGTGAGGCAGATCACAGCTGAAGCAGCGCGCCAAGCAAGAAGAGTTGAGATGACACAAGAGTGGAACGATGAGGATGAAGAGCTCAACTTTGTGAGATTGTGTCAAGAGTTTGAGGTTTGGTTCAAGGAGAGCTGAGAAGAGTTGAGGAGTTTGATATCTCTTCGAGCGATGAAGTGGAAGAGATCGAGGAGGAACCGACTGATGGTTTGATGGAGTGGTACCAAGGATGGTGGTTCTTGGAAACAGAAGTTGAAAGAAGTGTGAGAATGGTTTCTGAAGGAGATGATGTGAGGAGAACAGCAAGAGAAGTGGATGCATGTGAGGTAGTGCTCGACAGTGGAGCTGACTGCCATGTGTTGCC